GTCTCCCCATGTTTTGCTATAATGTTTTAATTGTTTCTGTGTCCTAGATCTGACTGTTTTGCTGCCCTGGTTCTTTTGAGGAGGGTGCTGCTTGTGTGATTTCTTGGATCTCCTGAGTTTGGTAGTCTAGTGTATCTCCTTACTTAAGCTGTTGGGGTTTTCTTGATGTAGGCCTGTGAGCTGGTAAGGTGCAACCGCGGTGTTCAGATGTCAGCAGCTGGGAAGGGATATGTTCCAATTTTTGCTGTCTTGCGTCCTTGGCTAAAATCACCCGTGCCCAGCAGGGGCTCTTGGAGGTACCCAGGAACTGTCTGTCAGGGTGGTAGGGCTCAGGAGGCCTGCACACTGGAAAGGCACAACTGTGCTATCCAGGGTTCTGTAGATGTAGAGTGGGAAGACTCATTTTTTGCTGCTGGGCCTGTGGTTGGAAACCCATACTCCCAGTGGTAGCTCACAGGGGCACCCGCAGTGTGCTTGCCAGCGTGGCACCCTGGCGCACTCTGAAGGGCTCTTTTGAAGCCAAGCAATCGAGGCGTCTGTGGGCTGGTATCCAGGATGAGGGTATTCAGAATTTCTATTGTTGGGACAGTGCACCCTTGTTAGGATAGGAACTCGCCTGTGGCCCTGTGGGCTCAGGAGGCCTGAGCGCTGAAAAAGCACGACTATAGTGTCCAGAGTTCTGCAGCTGTGGAGGGGGAAGTCTCAGGTTTTGCCGCTGTGCCTGTGGATGGATACACACGCTCCCAGTGGCAGCTCACAGGGGTCCCCGTGGTGCATTTGCAGCATGGATCTCCGAATTACGCTGAGGGGCCCTGGGGCTGAAGTTGTGCAACAGCGTCTATTGGCAGTTATTCAGGAGAGTGAATTCTGAATTTCTCCAGTGGGGCAGTGCGTCACTGTCTGTACAATATCGCACTGAGTGGAGGGCTCCCAGCGGCTCCCAGGGGCTGCCTGCGGAGTGGTGGTCTCCAAATGCTTGTCTTCTGGAAACTGCGATTCTGATGGTGCGTGCAGAGCTCTGACGCACCCTAAAGGGCTCTGGACTTGAAATTGTGCGACAGTGTCTATTGGCAGTTATTCAGGAGAGTGAATTCAGAATCTTTACTGTGGGGCAGTGCACTCTGTCTGCACAGTATCGCACTCAGTGGGAGCCTGCATTGGCCTCCAGGGGCTGCCTGTGGGGTGGTGGGCTCCAGAGGTTTGCGCGCCCGGAGGTCTTCCACTGGGGAGGGGGAGGTCACACTCACCACTGTGGATGTGATGCTTCCCGGAGGTGGAGATCTCAGGGTCTGGGAGTGTGCGGGTGGGGCAGCTGGACCTTGGCTGGCGTGGCTGCTGGGTCAGCGTCCAAGGCCTGTCTGGGTGGTGGTGTTGATAAGTTCCCAGACGGCCACTCTCCCCTTCAAGATGGCGTGGACTTCGTGCCCGAGTCCCACAGTCCTGGGAGTGCCCGCAATGCAGCAATCTCTCCCTGTCCAGGGGAGTCTCTCAGTGTCCGCCGGCCCCTGGCACTCCTGTTGGACCTAACTGTCCCTCCCCCACTCACTCACACACACCACACGCATACACACTCTCTCCCTTCACCCTCTCACTCACTCACATTCTCTCCCTCACCTCCGTCCTGCCAGCCGTCATCTTCCGGATTTATCTTTCTTTGTCTGACTTATTTCACTTAGCACAATGTCTTCAAAGTCCATCAAAATTGAGTTTTGCAGATTCCCTATATTGCCCCCACACATGCATATTATCCACATCCCCCACCAGGGTGGTCTATTTGTTATAATTGATGAACCTGCATTGACACATCAAAATAATTTATAGCCTGAGTTTAAATGAGCCTTCACTCGTGGTGGTGTATATTCCTCTAATACCTCCTGTAAGAGGATGTAATTAATAGGAAGGAAATATGAATCTAAGTGGTGTATAGTTTCATTTAAGTGTTTTTTATGTCTTAACAATATCTGATTCTGGAGAAATCATGTCAGAGCTTATAAGCATCACAGCATTGCCATTCACTGGCTGAATAACTCTAATCAAGTCACTTGACATTCTGAGCTTTGATTTCCATCTCCATGAACTGGGCATGATGTGACATAACCCATTTGGTTGTAGTGAAAAGTCAATTGGATCATGTTGTGAATGCATTTTGTACCAGGACAAATTTTATACATTTGGTTTGTGTTAACTCTTCCACAGGAGTACCAGCTCATGATCGGACTCAGCAATTGGATGCTCTGGGCTGCCTACTTCTTCACGTTTCTCACGTTGTATTTGGTTATCATCTTTTTGACGTGCCTACTTTTCTTTGTCAAGGCAAGTGTCTGTTTGCTGCAGCTCAACTTTAAGAGGGAAACAGAGACCCGGTGCGGGCGGGCCACTAGCATTCGGGTTGGCAGGGAGTGAGCGTGTGCCTGCTTCATCCTTGGCAGAGTAGCCTCTAAACCTCCATGTGCGGAGCTTCTGTAGACAGTGACTGTTTACTCTCCATCTCCCTGAGCATGGCCATCAGTTTCACCAGGACTATTAAGATACTTACAGATACTTCGTCTCTCCATGTTTGTTTTGCTGTGACCACTGAGCGTGTGACTAACCTGGCTTCCTGATTGTTTTGCTAGATGAAACCTGTGCCGATCATCCAGTACAGTGACCCGTCTCTTGTTTTTGTCTTTCTGCTGTGTTTTGCCATCGCCACAATATTCTTCAGCTTTATGGTCAGCACATTTTTCAATAAAGGTGAGTCTAAACCTCCTCCTGGGAAAGCTTCTCAGTGATTAAATGAGGATCATATTGGGAAGCTACTTCTGAACTTTAGTTGTAACCTCATCGATTGCCTCTGTTTACTGAAAAAACAAGTATATGAACTAGAAATGATTTGAAAAGGAATGAAGAGAGCATTAAAGTTAATGTAGTGCAGCATTTGTATGCTAAAGGATAAACATCAAGGTAAGACCGTATCTGTGTGTCTCTCTAACCTTTAGCTGCTAACTCTGCATGGCGTCTGTTTATCCATCTTCCAGGAAGGGCTGAGACTGAGCTGGCTTCCGCGTACTCTGCCACAGAGACTCACGTCTGCCCGTATCTTGTGAAGAAACTGTGGTCTGTGGAGGAAGAAAACAACAAAATTCCTTCACTGAAAGGAAGGGTCCTTGCACTTACTAATAGATTCTTATTGTATGCCATGTATTGGAAATGCAGTGCCTGCCCCCATGGATCTGACACTGAGTATCAATCACACGCTCAAAAATGATTTGACAGACATGCAGAGAGCGATGCGAATCAGCGGAGCACAATGCACACACGAAAAAGGGTTAAAATGCTCCAACTCCAGGTTGAAGCTGTGGGAAACCTAAGAATGCCTGCTGTAGAGGTGGTTTTCAAACACCATTGAAGGATTGGGAGGCTGGAATGGAAGGCAAGTCAAACGAGCAAGTGTTCATTCATTCATTCATCCCTTCCCTTATGCTGGCATGTTATCTACTATACAAAGGCAAATAAAAGTTGTTTCCTTGCATTCTAAAAAATAATTTTTATTGAAATCAGAGAGGAAGGGAGAGGGAGAGAGAAATAGATGCATCAGTGATGAGAATCATGGATCAGCTGCCTCCTGCATGCTCCCTACATGTGCCCTGACTGGGAATCGAACTGTGACCTCCTGGTTCATAGGTCAATGTTCAGCCACTGAGCCACGCCAGCCAGGCTATTTCCTTGCCCTTTTGAGGGCTCACATGTCAATAGTAGACATGACCAAATAGCTCTATTTCATTCTAATTTTTTTCAGTACATTATCATGAGTATTATTAATTGATTGGTCCTCACAAGGCACAGGATTATACATAAAACCTACAAGCAGCCCTCCCCGCCAAAAAAAGGAACACCCAACCCAGGTGGAAAAGAAGTAATATGTCAAAGTGAGGCAGAGTCTATTATACCAAAGAGTAAAATAAGGAGAGAACAAATACTAATGTTTCTATTTGGACAACCTAGATATTCTGAACATTTTGTGTGTCTGCTATCACATATGAGTAAGCACTTCACTATGGTACATAGTTAAGAATGGGGTTGCTGGTCACAGTGTTTGTGAATGTCCTAATTGACCCGAGGAAGGCAGTGCCTCACATGGATAGTCCCACTGGAAGGAGACAAACATTCCTATTGCTCCACATACTTGCCAGAGTTTAGTGCTGGCAAACTTGCATTTGTGCTGCCCTAGAAATATGAATGTAACCTTATGGTAATTTTAAAGTTTATTTTTTTATTTTTTTAAATATATATTTTATTGATTTTTTACAGAGAGGAAGGGAGCGGGATAGAGAGTTAGAAACATCGATGAGAGAGAAACATTGATCAGCTGCCTCCTGCACACCTCCTACTGGGGATGTGCCCTCAACTAAGGTACATGCCCTTGGCTGGAATCGAACCTGGGACCCTTCAGTCCGCAGGCCGACGCTCTATCCACTGAGCCAAACCGGTTAGGGCTTACAGTTTATTTTTAAAATTTTATTATTACAGTTGATATTCAACATTATTTTATATTACTTTCAGGTGTATAGCATAATGGCTAGACACTCATATACTTTACACAGTGTTCCCCTTGATATTTCTAGTAACCACCCGTCACCATACATAGGTCTGACCATATTATTGAGTATATCCCCTTTACACCCCGTGACTATTTTGTAACTACTTTATTATTATTATTATTATTGTTTTATTGCTTAATCAATTTGTACTTCTTAACCCTTCATCTTTGTTACCCAATCCCCCACCTCCTCTCCTTTCTGGCAATCATCAGTTTGTTTTCTTTATGAGTCTGTTTCTATTTTGTTTTTGTTTTGTTTTTTTTTAGATTCAAATGTAAGTGAAATTATATGGCACTTGTCTTTCTTAATCGGGCATATTTCACTTAGCATAATCTCTCCAGATCCATCATGCTGTTGAAATTGGTAAAATATCATTATTTTCAATGGTTGAGTAATATCCCATTATGTATATTTTGAGGAAACTTCATACTGTTTTCCACAGTGGCTGCACCAGTCTTCATTCCCACCAGCAGCGCACGAGGGTTCCCTTTCTTCACATCCTTGCCAGCCTTGTTTGTTGATTTACTGATGACAGCCATTCTGACAGGTGTAAGGGGTTATCTCATTGTGGTTTCAATTTGCATCCCTCTGATGATTAGTGATGTCAAGCATCTTGTCATATGTCTATTGGCCATCTGCATGTCCTTTTTGGAGAAGTGTCCGTTCAGGTTCTTTGCCATTTTTAATCAGATTGTGTGTTTTTTGGCATTGAGTTGTATAAGTTCTTTTAAAATTTTGGATATTAACTCCTTACTAAATGTATCATTCATGACTATGTTCTCCTATTCAGTAAGTTGTCTTTTTGTTTTGTTGATGATTTCCTTTGCTGTGCAAAACCTTTTAAATTTTATTTTATTTTTTCCATCACCATTTATCCTCTCTATGCCCTCTTCTACTCCACCCCACCCCAATTAGCACACTGTTGTCCATGTCCCCAAGTTCTCTCTTTTTTTCTCAAACCCTCCCCCTCCCTCCCCTAGTGCCCTGCCCTCCACCAGGGCTGTCTGCCTGCACTCCATCTATGAGTCTGTCTCTATTTTGCTTCTTTGTTAGATTTCACATATGAGTGAAATCATGTGATACTTGTCTTTCTCTGACTGGCTTATTTCACTTGGCATAATGCTCTCCAGGCCTATACACCAAACAACAACAACACACACTTTTTAGTTTGATGTAGTCCAATTTGTTTACTTTTCATTTGTTTCTATTGCCCGAAGAAATATATCAGAAAAAATATTGGCATAAGAAATGCCTGAGATTTTATTGCTTATGTTTTCTTCTAAAATTTTTATGGTTTCAAGTCTTACATTAAGTCTTTAATTCATTTTGAGTTTATTTTTATGTATGGTGTAAGAAGGTAGTCTAGTTTTATTTTTTGGTCAATTATCCATAGAATTTTCTCAATACCATTTATTGAATAGACTGTCTTTACTCCATTGTATATTTTTGCCTCCTTTGTCTAATATTGATTGACCATAAAGGTGTGGGCTTATTTCTTGGTTCTCTAGTGTGTTCCATTAGCCTATATGTATGTTTTTATGCCAGTACATGCTGTATACTACAAAGATATATAGTAGTACTACTGTATATATAGTTTGACATCTGATATCGTGACCCCTCCAACTTTGTTCTTCTTTTTCAAGATTGCTGTGGCTATTCAGGGTCTTTAGCAGTTCCACATACATTTTTGAAATACTTTTTCTAGTTTTGAGAAATATACCATGGTATTTTGATAGGAATTGTGTTGAATCTGTAGATTGCTTTGGGTAGTATGGACGTTTAAACAATGTTAATATTTCCTATCAATAAACATGTTATATGGCTCCATATTTTTTGTATCTTCTTCAGTTTCTTTTTTCAGTGTTTTGTAACTTTCCAAATATAGGACTTTTACCTTCTTGGTTAGAATTAATCCTAGGTATTTTATTTTTCTAATGCAATTATAAACAGTGTTGTTTATCCTTAGGTTCTCTTTCTGGTAGTTCAATATTGGTATATAGAAATGCAACCAGCCCTAGCTTGTTTGGCTCGGTGGATAGAGTGTCGACCTGCAGACTAAAGGGTCCCGGGTTCAATTCTGGTTAAGGGCACATGCCCAGGTTGTGGGCTCAATCCCCAGGCGGGGACATGCAGGAGGCAGCCAATCAATGATTCTCTCTCATCATTGATATTTCTATCTCTCCCTCTCCCTTCCTCTCTGAAATCAGTCAATAAATAAATAAATAAATATAAATAAATAACATGCAACCAGCCCTGGCTAGTGTTGCCCAGAGGCTAGAGCATTGGCCTACAACCTGACACTCATTGCCACAGCCTCCTCTGGGGCCTGCAGCTGGCTCTGGAAGGCTAACAGGAGGCAGCCAGGCTCCACAGCTATTTGTCTGGAATGCTGATTGCCTGAAAACTGTGTTCACATCTCTCATACCCTGACCAGGTTCAGTCGCAGCTCATACTGACCCCCCTACAGGAATGCTCACTGTGTCTGCTCTGCCTGGTTGAAGAAGGTGCCAGCAGCAATCTGATGCCTCTTGTCTCCAGGCTGAGCCCCTTAGTGAGCCCTGGGGTATGAGATCCAGGCTGCGTCTCTGGGCCATCTCAACTCTTCTACCTTCCCACTTCCCTGGTTTGCTATTTGCCCACCTTCATTTTTCAATGCATGGATCTCTTAGATGTATTTGTACATTGAGCAGGGATTTCTTTGTTGAATTATAGCTGTTTAAATTGTGGAAACTTCAAGGAGAGACCAAGGTGTGACCTCTCATGATGCCATTTATTTGACCAGTAACACAGTCTTTTGATAATTATACCTTTGCAGTCATTGTTGAAAATGCGAAGTGTAAGTACTCCAATTTTATTCTCTGTTTTGGCTGTTCAGAGTCCCAGGCAATTCTAAACAAGTTTTAGGATTGGCTTTTTTATTTTTCCAGAAAAGATCATTGGGATTTTGCAAGAAAATTGCTTTGGGAGTATTGCTCTTAACAATTTTAAGTCTTGTAATTCATGAACATGAGATGTTGTTTCATTTATTTAGGTATTCTTTAATTTCATTGAAGAATGTTTTGTAGTTTTTAATGTATACTTCTTGCAACTCCTTGGTTTAGTAATATTCCTAATTATGTATTTTCTTTCTGTGTGTTTAAAAGTGGAATTCCT